ATATAAGGACTTAATTTGTTTAGATTCATATTCAGAGATGTTTTCAATAGCTATTTAAAATCATTACAACCGTTACTATCGCTGCATTACTAGCTAATTGGATTGAACTGATCCTTTGCAAATTGAGACAGCAATTTTTTTTTTCACAGCAGATATTAGCTATGAGCAGAAATGATTTGGTACCATCTTAGAATCTGATATTCTGACATGTTTTTAAACAACACATTTTAGATATTCACAGTTGCTTGTGGATGCTCCAGTGACTCACCAGCACTGAAGCAGAATGATGAGTGTCATGACAGTGCAAGCACATGGTGTGTTCGCTTCTCTGTACCTGAACAAGTGTAGCAGGAGGCCAGGAGACCTCCTTGGATGGATAAGGAGCTGCTGAGGAAAATTCAAATGAAAAAAGAAGCTTATAAAAGGTGGAAGCAAGGACAGGAGGCCTGGGAAGAGTACAGGGATGTTGTCTAGGAAGCTAAGGACCAGGTTAGGAAAGCTAAGGCCCAGTTAGAATTAAACTTGGCTATGGGTATTAAGGATAACAGGAAGGGATTCTATAGGTACGTAGCGAATAAAAAACAGACTACAGAGAACGCAGGCCCCCTCTGGAAGCTATAGGGAGAACTGGCTACACAGGATTTGGAGAAGGCTGAGGTTCTGAATGGCTTCTTTGCCTCAGTCTTCACTGGCAAAAGCTCTGACCACACCACCCAAATCTTGGAAGGCAGATGCAGGGACTGTGAAAATGAAAACCTTAGGCTCACTGTCGGAGAGATCTGGTTCGAGACCATCTTAAAAACCTGAACATGTACAAGTCCATGGGTCTAACCATGCCAAGGGCAAGTTCCTATATCTGAGTCATAGCAATCCCAGGCAAAGCTACAGGTTAGGCAGAGAAGAGATTCAGAGCAGCCCTGAGGAGAAAGACTTGGGGGTGTTGGTTGATGAGAAAATGAACATGAGGCAGCAGTGTGCGCTCACAGCCCAGAAAGCCAACCGTATTGTGGGCTGCATCAAAAAGAGCATGACCAGCAGGTCGAAGGAGGTGATCCTGCCCCTCTACTCCGCTCTTGTGAGACCTCACTTGCAGTATTGTATGCAGTTCTGGTGCCCTCAACATAAAAAGGACATGGACCTGTTGGAACAAGTCCAGAGGAGGGGCATGAGGATGATCAGGGGATTGGAGCACCTCCTGTATGAAGACAGGCTGAGAAAGTTGCGGCTGTTGAGCCTGGAGAAGAGAAGGTTGCGTGGAGACCTCATAGCAGCCTTCCAGTACCTGAAGGGAGCCTATGAGTATGCTGGGGAGGGACTGTAGTGATAGGACAAGGGGTAATGGGTTAAAACTTCAACAGGGGAAGTTTAGATTGGATATAAGGAAGAAATTCTTTACTGTAAGGGTGGTGAGGCACTGGAATGGGCCGCCCAAGGAATTTGTGAATGCTCCATCCGTAGTTGTGTTCAAGGCTGGGTTGGACAGAGCCTTGGGTGACATGTTTTAGTGTGAGGTGTTGCTGCCCATGGTAGGGGGGGTTGGAACTAGACGATCTTAACGTCCTTTCCAGCACTAAGTGTTCTATGATTCTATGATTCTATGAATAGAACCAGACAGATAGTTTACAGAGATATTACAAACACTAAAGAGATTACACCTCTATTGCTTTCTGCCTCCTTGATCTCTCTTGCAAGTATTTTCCTTTACGGTCCACTAATGCTTTTAATACATGTCTTTCAAAATATGTAGAGGAAATGGGTATGAATTAAAACAGAGGAGGTTCCATCTGAACATCAAGAAACACATTTTCCCTCTGAGGGTGACTGAACCTTGGCAAGACAGGTTGTAGGGTCTCCATCATTGGCCCTGGGCAACCAGCTATGGGTGACCCTGCTTGAGCAGGGGGCTTTGGACAAAATGGCATCCAGGGGTCCCTTCTAAACTCAGCCATTTTGTGATTCTCTATAATAACTGTAGTCATCTCAAAACAAAGACAAGAGCATGAATAAAAAGATGATAAGGAAAACCAAAGCACCTGAAATCCTACAGATTACAGCGGTTACATGGAATATGTTCAAGCAAGATTGTGATCTCTTGCTTTGAAAATAAAGCCATTTCATAATCTTCAAAAATAAGGTATGGGTTTTTTTTAATACTAACAGCTGTAAACCATTAAACAATGTACCATATTTAGGTGAGGAAAACCAAACCAGTTCTCAACACTATTTTATTAAGATTCATAAATTGAACTTTTTTCTGTAGGAATTATTTCCATACATGAAATTAAAAAGAAGGATAACACATTTTAAAATTTTAAGCATTGGATTCAAATAGGCAATTTCAGAGAGGTTAGGTCCTAATACACAAGTACATTGTACGGGGATAACAGATCCAACACTGAGAAGACCAGAAAATTATTGTACTGAATGTAGAGGAAATAAAAATTATGTCACGCGGTTGTTTTGAATAAAAATATAACAAATATAAATTTTGTAGAAAAAAAAAGAGAAGCATTTAAAAATTAAATGAATGAACGCTCACAGTTCTGAATAGAAGTTGGATAATTTTATGAAAAGTGAAATGCACAAGTGTAGAAGCAAACTAGTCTAAGAAATTTTCTTCCTCAAATAAAATTGCCATGTATTCAGGAATCAGCACAAAAAGGTTTTAGGTACTTGTAAAGAAATTAATCAGAAGTCTTTGTAGAGGTAGGATGCAACAATAATGAAGACTTACAGTAATCTTGCAAATCAAAGTGATTTCTTTGTAAATTGGAAAATAAACTGTGGAACACAGAAAGAGTCACAGCTCAGCAGCATTGTGCTGAGGCACATGCCATTTACACGGGTATTCCACCTTCCTAAGGCATTTCCAAACTTCCATCACATGCCAATGCTCATACTGATCACGAAGAACTCTTTCTCTCTATAAGATCATGCAGAAGTCTTCATGCCAGCCTTTGGGGACAGTGTTCACTAACTACGGCGTAGAAGTTATGACATTATTATTAGCATTGCTAATTATGCCTCTAAATAGTAGTAAGATACTGATGCATTGCTACCTGGTATTAGTCATACGCTTTTCTTTACTTTCCTATTATCTTAAAAAATGCCGTCTTGTCTCATGGACTGTTAGGTTTTTATTGAGATATTATCAGCAGTATGTGAAACTTGAGCAGTCAAAACTGCTTCCTAAGCATCAGCTACAAGAGGCTTAGCTCTTTTGATTAAAACCTGTATACTCAAATAGATGGCTGTAATGTAAGAACTACTGAACCTTTACCTCAGAACTCAAAGGCTGACAGCTGTGCGACATAAATCACACTTTCTTTCCTTCTAATCATTCTGACATTTTTTTCAATGGAATTACTGTCTTAGGATGGGTAGGAATGTTTCTTTATTTACCTGACATATCAAAATTAACCAAGAAAATTTGTATTTCTCAAACTTTGAAAAATGCTAGGCTTTTCCGTAAACAGTCGGGGAGGAGGGGTTAGGGTTTTTTCCTTTTTTTTTTTTATTTAAAACCATATGCATATAACTGTTAGGTCCTCTAAAGTAGGGTTTTGGTGATGGAAGAGGTCCAAATTTTATAAGTGGTCAAAAATTAGTATTTCCTACTTTTTAAATGTTTTATTGTCTTAACTCTCTAGGAAAACTAAGGAAAGTGTAGAAACAACATTTTGTAAAAGAAAAATGCTGAAAGAAGACAGCTTAACTAAATTGAACAGTTCTTTCATTGCACTGAAAATCCTTCTAGTTTCTATGTTTGGTTGTTGTATTTTTTTGTATTGTTCATGTAGTAAAATACTGTCATGGTTTAAACCCAGTCAGGCAATTTTCACTCACTTCCCCCCCACTTCTTTCCCTCCCCCTGCTCCCGGAGGGACGGAGAGGAGAATCGAAAAGAATGCAACTCCCACGGGTTGAGATAAGAACAGTTTAGTAACTAAGGTATAACACAAATCACTACTGCTACCACCAATGATAATAATGATAAAGGAAATAACAAGGGAAGAGAATACAACACCTCACCACCAGCTGACTGATAACTCACCCCCCAGGCCCGACCAAGCACCGACCCATACCTCCTCCAACCCTGCAGTCTCCCAGCCCTTTCGGCTAACTCCCAGTTATATCCTGGGCATGATGTGCTGTGGTATGGAATACCTCTTTGGTCAGTTTGGGTCAGGTGTCCTGTCTCTGCTTCCTCCTGGCTTCCCCTCCTCCCTGGCAGAGCATGAGGCTCACAAAGTCCTTGGCCAAACCAAAACATCCTTGTTATCAGCTCTGTTCCCAGGCCGAAAGTCAAAACACTGCACTGCACCAGCTACTAAGAAGGAGAAACATGAGAGCTACGGCTGAACCCAGGACAAATACATTTCACAATGCAAAGTGAGTTTTGAGAGAAAAATGTTATAACTATGGAAAGTTAATCTTTAATATTTTTTAAAGGAAGTTGAAAGGACTAGGACCATCTCCTGATATGGCATTCATTGAATGGTTGAGTGTATCAAAGCCCATAGACATCCATCTTGAATTTTAGTTATATCTTTACTTCTGTATAGAATAAAAATGACCCCTTACTCTTTATCTGCCTTTTTTCTACTACTTTGGTATTTGAAGAGCTTAATTAGAAGAGTTTCATTCTTAATATTGCGTATTTTGATCTTCATTTTTCCTCTTGTTTTATTTTCCATCAATACTTTCTCTTTTCCTTTCCCAAATACCTGTTCCTCTCTTGCGTGTTTCACCTATAGTGACTTGCAAAATTTCCTACAAGAAAGCAGTGTCAGATCAGACATACAAATATTTTTATGCTTATGTATAATATATATGCTTATAGCATATGTAGACAGGAAGGTAAAATATGGCACTTAAAAGCCAACACTTCAATATCTTTCATCTCCCGTTTTATAGATGAGTTATTTTAAAGAATTTTTTTGTATCTTATAAGATACTTGAACATTAGAAGTTTATTTCTTTGCTTATGCAGTACTTACTGTGTTTTGCATTCCATTTAAGCTTCAGGGCAGTAAGTTACGCTATTGATATTATGCCAAACCAGATATATCAGCAACTTTTGCAGTACTCATCTTGTTCCATTGCAGACTTCATCTATGGAATTTGAGTTACTACTAAGTCTGGAAGTACAAAATAAGAACAAAATCTACCCTCTGTATCTTTCTTAAAAAACCCAGCAACTAATCCTTCATTGTTTAATAATGTTAATTTCCCTGAAGCCTTAAATTAATATTTAGAAGTCTTCTGTGTCTGATTTTCATTAAATAAATTATAATTTATTGCTGACAGTATTTTAAGTAAGGAGAAGATTTTGATTCATTTTTTTGTTTTGGTTTTATAACAATTCACCATTACAAATGGAAAGGACTAAGTCTTATTTTGCTTCATATTCTACAAGCAATCTATACTAAACTTTAATTGCTTTCTAACATAATGTGCAATAATCTATACCAAATTATTATAAGGATCTTTCTATTTTTCTCTGATAGTTTCATCAGTGAAATATAATTTCTAACCAAGATTTATTTTCTTTTTCATATACCACTAGGGAAAACACATTTTTGCTACCTGGTCCTTCAAATATTTATGAAAAAATCCTGACACTAATCACAAGAAGAAATAAACAGCTGGAAAAAAATATTTGCAAAAAACTCTAGTGAAAGTATTCATATTAGAGGAAGTTGCAGATCTTAAACTACAATGCTACTTTTCTTTATCCCTGAAAAGATGGGGAGGGGAGTATGTAAAAGGCTAATAAATGGGAAAATCTGGAAAAGAGATTATTTTGGCCGGTAAGACCCGGGGGGGACCACCAAACCCAAGATTTCCTTTTTCCTATTTTCAGTGCTTGCTCAGTATATAAAATATGAGTGGGTTTGGGAATTATTTTTTTTTTAATTTCTTCCTCCTGCTCAGTTGTCTCCATGCACAGCTTAGTACAAGTACTTGCTTTTCCAGCTGGTATTGTAAACATCACCATCCTGCAGATGCTAAAAAATGAGCAGCCTGCTCTTTCCACTTTTAAAACTCAGAGTAGCAGAAGCAGATTGGCATTGTTTTTTGACATGCACAGCGTACATTACTGCAAGATGTCATATTGCCCCAAAAGGGTACTCAGAATGTCAAGAATCTTGGACCAGACACAACAAGATCATAAATATGCTACAAGAGAACACACTAGAATATTTGTATAAGATTATTATTAGGTATCAGATGAATACTGTTTCATCACATGCTTTCTGTGGAATAGGATTTGATGGTTACCTACTTGTGATAACATGAATTATATCTTTATTTGAATGCCACTGCATTGCAAATAAGATTTCAAAACTAAGTAGTGCTTATACTTTTATGTAGGTTAGATTAAAAAAAAAAAAAAAAACAGACAACTTATTAAGGAATAGATTGCAAATGCAAAGTTTTCCATGATCACAAGAATAACTTGCTTACAACTCACACTGTTAGTGTGGATATTCACTTTGGTCTGGGAGCATTAAAAACTCCAAATCTAAAAACTCCTATCTTAAAAACTCCAAATCTGAATTAATTTGATATGGAAAAATAATAGTTTATATTTATAACCATTTGAGGAAAAAAAATGTTACCTTATAATTATCTTTTAAGTGACATGTTTACAGTGTATTAATTTAAAAACACAGGCTTAAAAAAAAAATCTCATTTTGTTTTGATCCAAATCATTTTTCCCAAAAAAACTAGTAGAACAAAATGTAATGAAAAGTTTTGTTTTACTTAGGCCGCAACCTTACTAATTCCCCTTGGAACTATTTGCAATAACATACAGAGTGCAAGTCATGATTCTTATTTTAATAGTTCCTTTCATATGGACAGCTTCTATTCTAACAATTCTTCACTCAGGAAAACTCAGAAAAAGAAAAGAGAACCTGCTGTGAGCCAAGGCTACAATATTTTGATCACACAGCTGGTCCCCAACTACTGTGGCCCATAAATGCAACCCTGGAAAAAAAAAAAAAAAAAGGATAAAATGAAAAAATTTAGCACACATAAATTATTAATTTACCTTCTGCAGGTGGAACTTTTCTATCTCTTTATGCTTTCAGATGTCACCACTGATAATCCTAATTTATTGGGCCCCTATCTATACATGAAATAACCAAACCAACCCTGAACAAGTTAGGTATGGTTTTACTAGGAGATTCTTAACAATACAGTTTGTAAACAGCACTGTCATGAACTGACATCCAAGCAAGCTCTTGGTACTAGCAGATGTTGGTAGAAGCAAATCTGTACGGCAGGAATCTCGCACAACTTACTTTTCCCATACTTCTGCAGTTCTTGCTCTCTCACTTCATGTGTTCAGAGGTTGACAGTAAGGATGTTGGTAATGACCAATGTTGGTAATCCATTAGTGTTGGATGGTGACTTTTATCTGGTCTTCCTACTGTAGCTTTTTGCACTACCATTTACATCATATCTTTCTTGTTCCATACCCTGCGTAGAAACCTCTACTCCAGGAACCATGGTATTGCAGATTCTACACTTTCTGCAAGGTCTCAGCGTGGCCCTAAACCAGAATTCAATACATTTCTCCATGCCTCAGATATCCCCTAAATTGTGCAGGAACTGAGTGGTTCATACTAGGACTAATCAGAAAAAAGAATCGAATTGCAATATTGTATCTGTGTCATACAAGTTCCTTTATTGACCTGCAGCACCAGCTTTCTAATTTTGCTCATTTCATAGCCTGAGCTAAATATCATGTGAGCTGTATACAACCTTCAGCTTTATATATAGTCCATTTCTTTACGAAAGAATCCAGTCTCTAGAATAATCTTACTCTACAGGTCCTTTTTTAACCTTGTTTTCCTGTTTATTGGTCCATTGATTTTTTCCTCCAGCCACACACTTCCCTGCTTCCCTGCTTACCCCTACAGGAACTTCCTTGATGTCTGACCTTGGCCTTGCTCTAGCTGCCCATCCTCATTTCAGCAAAAATAATTCATAACCATGGTAATTGTGCAGCTTCTGGAGGACATGGACTTCACAAAGCCACAGATCAGCATGTAACCACAGGGTTCTGCAAGCCTTTAGGGGTTGCTTAAGCTTGGGAGAACAGGATGTACCTGTCTTGCCACTGTGCATGAGGATCAAAGGCTTACCTTAGTGTTGCGCATACCTGCCCAGTTATATACTTTCTAAGCACCTGTCTCACTGTCTTCAGAGGATGGAGCCTTTAAAGAAGTTACTTACTTTCCTATAGTTCTGACAAAGACCTTTGAGACTTTGATCGAATGGGAGCTGTACTCAGAATGCTAGGCAATTGAAAACTTAAAAAAAAAAAAAAAAGAAAGAAAAAAAATCATGTATCTGATTTGAAATAATTGTGCCTATCAAAGAAAGGCAAGCATATGCTTCTAACAGTAACACAGAGCAAATACAGGATGGACTACTGCCATCTCTTGACTATCTATATTTTAAAGTATTTAAAAAATATCTTAAGAATTGTTCATGTTAAGAAAATTACTGTTAAACATAAAAAAAAATCCTTTCAAAATATTTTTATGATGATATCAAAATGGGAAATGAATAGTGTCTTAGCAAATTGACAGATGTGCAACATGGTGAGACAGAGCACCAGCAGTGCTACTAAGGTGGCTGCAGCATTTCAGTGAATATTGCTGCCGAAACAACCACATCTGAACTTTTACTCATACAAAACTGGAAATTTACAAAACTATAAAATTTTATTTCATAAAAAAAATCTTCTTTTTTGATAGATTCCATTCTCAAGGTACTTTGAAACCATTTTCAGAACATCTGTTAGTGATTAAAAGACTTAGGAACCTAAAAGTCTAGTTTTACAGACACAAATGTACCCACAAAACATACAACTGTGCGTGCAAAATGGGCATTGAGCAGCTCATTCTCTGATTAAGTCACGATTAAACCCAGTATTCAAGTTGAACACACAACCAAATGCCTGACAAGTGTAAGTTAGATACAAACTATTAAAAAGCAAGCTGAGGATTCTCAATTTTTCATGTACTTCATAGGTCATCAGGGAATAGAAATCTGCAGTATTTTCCATATAACCATTTTACAGAGAAAGAAGAATAGCAATTAAGTCACAAAATGCTGTATCAATATATTCGTTGCACCTACAAAGGTACCAGAGAGCTGTACCAGAGATAGATACATTTAAAATAATTTTATAATTAGCAATATTGCCTCTACAAGGCCGGTACCCAAATATTGATTCTAGTATTGCTTAGGATATAATCTTTTGTCCTGTATCAATATATTTCATAAAAAAAAAAAAAGAAAGAACACTGCATGAAACTGCTTCTAACATTTTGTCACTTCAGGGGAAAAAACAACCTGAAAAGTATTCCGATTTCTAGCAACTAAAGATTTAAGCATTTTGGATGTGTAAGAAGCAATGTTTAAGGAAAAGCTAAATACTTTTCCTAAAGCTGATGAAAATAATGAATTCAGTGACATCTTCATTGCTACGTTTTTAGGCAAAAATCTGAAAAAAAATAAAAAAAAAAGTAAACCAGACATTTCAGGTGGGATTTCTATAATGAAGATAACTTTTTTCTTAAATGAACATAATTTTTTCAATCATTTATACATACTTGTGTCACAATTCATAGTTATAGGTCCAGAATTACAAGGGACCTAAGTAAATAACTTAAGTGTAGTCAGACATTGCTTATTGTACCCTTTTCTATAAAAACTTGAATCATCTTCCACCAAGTTTCTCTTGTGAACAGGTAAGTGCTGTTCTAAAACTAAACAGTCATTGGTTTATGGTAACATGTAAGAACATTATCCCTTAAAATAGTTATATGCCATGTGGTAAAAAATTTTGGTTACTATCAGGAGCTGGAAGAACTTAGAATAGAACAAGACATATATGTCACTCTGTAGGTGTGTCTGTGTAGTTAAAAAAAATTTTAAGTCCAGAGGGAGGTGTGTGAACTCCTCATAATCAAACAGTACTAGAAGCTTCTCAGACTTTCAACTCCCTTGCATGCTGTGTGCATCCACAATGACGTCAAGTGCACAAATTACTGTGAGTATATCACTCATTATGCCTTGGCTTGCAAGCCACAGTGATAAATTGATAAGCTAATGG